TGCACCAACGCTGGATGGGTGCCGTGACAATCAGTAACCTATAGCACATTTTATCAGTTCCCAAGTTACCTATAATAGTTTAATAAGCTGGAGACTAGGAAATCCCCCCATAAAATACACTTTAATGGGTTGCATGCAGTGTGAACTTAAGCGAGTGAAAAATGTCCGATACGTGGTTTGGTGTCTGCAAATGCACTTTTATCCAGGTCCACCCCATGGAGGAATGTTGTTTTATGCGAACACCTATGCTTAGAGAGTAGCAATATAGGCAATCAGCTAAGACTTGCACTCTTCTTCTCCATTAAAGGACCACTATAGGCACCCAGACCACTTCAGCTTAATGAAGTGGTCTGGGAGCCAGGTTTTTTTTTATTTATTTTTTATAAACATAGCAGTTTCAGAGTTAGGGTTAATCCAGCCTCTTGACAGCCGCTAAGACGCTTGCGTGCTTCTCACTGTGAAAATCACAGTGAGAAGACGCCAGCGTCCATAGGAAAGCATTGTGAACTGGCTGAACGCAGGGCTCGTTTCTTTGTATTTGTATTCACTTTTGTATCACACAGCTAGGTTACAATGCTGCTGCCCATCCCATGTGTTCCCTATTAAGGGTTAATAAACATGTAGGGATGTATATAAAAACAAAATACCCCTTTCTGTCTCATTAGAGTCTAACCATTCACCTTGCTTCCTTGCTACCGGCCCTGGTAGTAGTGGAAATATATTTTAAGGTGTTGGTGTCACTTTAAAACAATATTGCACCTATATGTTTATTTCCAATCTTTTTATTAAGGAATCATTTAGCAAAGAAAAAAAGAAATACAGCAAAATAAATTCAAGGCATACAACCAATTAAAGGTTTACTCTAACCCCTTTTTCCTGTTTGAATAATGCCCTATTTCGATATTATTCTTTAGGTCCCCTCACTCAAACCCCTTTTTATCCTGAAAGAATACCCTATTGGGTATTATTCTTTAGGTTCCCTCCTTAAAAAGCCCTGAAAAATCTTTTTAAATGAAGTTTAAAGCACTGGGCGAAGCTCCAGGTGCATCTTGGCACGCCATCTTGTGATGTCTTGAGAGACGCATGGTGGTCCAATAAAAGGCTTATCTAAGCCTTTGATTAGACCATTTAACTGGCTTAGGTATGAGCTGGCTGAGGGAGGGATGGGAGATGGAGGGAAAGAAAGCAGTGAGGACGGCAATAAAAATTAGCAAATGGGATAAAGGAGGTGGTAAGACTGCAGACAAGGAGGTTGGGGAAAGACACGGCAAATAATTAAAAATAACTCGGGATGTGTCATGTTCAAGCAGAAGTAGTCATGATGGTGGGAGTAACCCTTTAAGTATTCACAAGCAAGCCTGTGATAAACATATTCATATATTTATTGAGTCACAAGTACTATCAAGCTCATCTATCCATCCTAAACCATATATTCAAGATTTTGGAGCAGTGTTTGTAAGTGGGATCAATGATTATGTGTATTATTTACTATATTGCACTATACAGGATTCATCTTAATTGATTATTGCAATTAATCTTAATTGGAATAGATTAATTTTATAAAATTTATTTATTTTTCTATGCAGAATTTCACTTTTCCCAATATGCCTTAATTTCTTGACTTAAGCATCAGTGTCTAGTCCATTCTTTATAGGAAAAAAGGACTTTCAAACTAGTGACTGGAAAATGCCAACAGCAGCAGCTCCCTCTGGAGGTTTTCTGATAAACTGCAAAAGTCAAATGTTAGAAATAACATGAATAGAAAGCTACACCAGACATATATATATTTATATATTATGTCCATAATGTGTTAAATAGCAATATAAATGATTTTATTTGTTTATATTTTATAATTGTGTACTGTGGCGGCTACCCCAAGAGAATGAGGGATTTCGCCGCTAGAGATGTTCTTTCCCCGTATTCAGATGCCTTCCAAATCCCAAGGTCGGTATAGCTGTATAGCTCTTACAAGAGCTGGTGATTATAGCAGGTATAGCGGTTCCCTACAAAATGAGATGAGACTATGTTGAGGGTAAGCAGGAACTAATTTATTGGTGGCCACAGTGGCCTTTTATGACAATCCCCATGCAAGGGGCACTCTCCTCAGGACCTGAGAGTATACCACAGAAAAAACAGATACACCATCCCATTGGCTCTCAGGTCTAGGACACTCCCATACAAAGTAGGTCAATCCCTCCTATGTACCTGAGAGATAATTGAGTCAAGCACTGTACTAAACTCTGTTATCTCCAGGCACAAAAAAAAATAATTTTCACAACATATTAAAAATACCCCTAAACCACATGGAAACCCCAATATAGTGATATCCCCGATCTGGGGGACCAACACATCCACAAATCACCCAGATTGATTCAGGATTTCCATGAAATCAAGGCTCCTGCCCCAAAAGAGTTCCATGAAAATCAGGCTGTGCGGTCGGTCTCTCTCGGAGGTGACCAAATAGAATAAAAAGTACTGAACGTAACCGTTCGTGAA